GGAGGAGGGAGAAGGAGTTGAGGAGGGAGAGCAGCGACGCTACCAATCACTTGTGGGGAGCCTTCTGTACGCCGCTGTACACACAAGGCCGGATATCTCCTTTGTTGTCGGACAACTCGCCAAGGTGGTGTCCAACCCGACTGAGGAACAAGTTGACGCGGCCGAAAGAGTCGTGAAGTACTTGAACTCATTCCCATTTGTCGGAGCTCAATTCTCAGCAACGGCACAGCAGAAGCAGAAGGGGGTGGAGCTGCTGAGGGAGAAGGGAGAGAGGCTACCGGAACAGAAACTTTTCCTCACTTGTTTCTCCGACGCAACCTGGGCATCGGAGCAAGAAGACTCGTCCTCTGTGGGTGGCTGCATTTGCGTGATAGGGGGAGGACCGGTGAGCTAGAGGTCCAAGAAACAGAGTGAATCGGCTCTATCATCTGCCGAGTCCGAGTACATGGCCATGTTTCATGCCGTGAAAGAAATCATATGGCTGAGAAGGCTACTGGAAGAGATCAGTCAGGAGCAGACGATTCCCACGCCACTATACCGCGACAACATGTCGGCAATCGCAATGGCTCGCAACGCTGTCCGTCACGGCCTCAACAAGCACATGCACCTGAAGTGGCACTGGCTGCGCAAGGAAGTTAACCGTGGAATAGTCAATCCGATCTACATCAAGACACAGCAGCAGCCGGCAGATGTTCTCACCAAACGAGTAGCCGATGAACCACACTGGAGGCGTGCGCGGATGAGCGGTATGAGCATGAACTAAGGGAGACGGGGAGAAAACCGACAGATTGAGGAGGAGTGTGCTAATACAGAATCAATTTTCTGTATATCAATCAGCCAGTTTATCTCCTCGGAGTGCACTAGTCATTTGAGGCGAAAAGCAGAGGGGCGAATCGTTCATGATCGAGTCGAGTGTTCAAGGGGATTTAGCTTCGACAAATGGGAGGCATCAGTTCGGTTCGGTTCGAGCAAAGGACAGCACGGAATAACCGTTCGCGCTGCGAGTTCGTTGGTGCTCAAAGCGACAGGTTTCGACTGCGCTGATTGGACAAATGCTCGGGCAGCAAAGTTCGTCGTTCTGAGCACGCAGCCAAAACTAGTTCCGAACATGTTCAGAACAGGTTCGAACATGTTCAGAACAGTGTTCGAACAAGTTCGAAACAGGTTTGAACAAGCTGACGCGGCTGAAGCAGAGGGCAGCTACATGCGCGCCGACATTTCGAGAGCTACACTTTCGCCATCTGGAACACGTCAGCCCAAGAAAGTGCTCACAGCTCGAGCGATCAAAGCACGTGGCGAAACTGCTCACGCCACCAGAATTCAAGCAAGGGGATTGGCCCGAATCAGCACGCATGTTCAAAACAGCAAAGCTGACTCAAATAAACAAAACGGATCGATCGGAGCCGTTATCAGAACGGCGCGAAAATCACAACGGATCAACGCCGTTAATAAATTCCGCGCGAACAGCTAAAACATTCGCCGGCGAATCGCAACCTAGCTGAGTCACAAAAATAAAACGAGGGAAACGCGAAAATTGCTCGCGCCTCGCTAAGGATAGGAATTTCTCAGCCATGTTAGGTAGCTAGCAGTAGAAACAGCCTAGAGAATATATAAATGTATGGCCTGAATATTAATAAAACACTCTGCCACACATTTAATCTCACACGCTACTATCAGATTTGACGTCCAACGGACTCTCTGCCCACGCCGTGACAAGGGCTTCCACTGTTGAAACTCTAGTCTACTGAATTGCTCTTTCAACAAACTCGGACCCTTGGATAGGGGCTGACTCTAGTCAGGCACCCAAGGACCCTCGGAGGTGACCCCGAGAAGAGTTGTTTCAGTAATTGTAGAACCATCAGCAGTAGGAACTAAGTGATTCTGAAGTTACATGCACTACACTCTGTATCCTCTCCCGTTGCTTCTAAATGTGTACGTATTTGCATGTTTGTGTAAGGCTCGTAATAGCTCCTGTTGTCTTCTTTATTTGCTTTCAATTCTTGAAATGGCTGTTTCTTGCAACAATTTGTTATAAAGTCAATGGTAAGTTTAGCAGCTTGTATCACGGTCAGATTTCAGGATGACATCATTTGTTCAGTCATTTACGCTTCTATCCTGCCATTTGGTTCATTCATTTCTAAGGATGTATCAATTTCATGGCACCCTTTGCATGTGCTTGGTATCAACGGTTTCACCATCTCGGTCACTATCCACATACAGCTCTGATTATGTGTGCAGGAATAACAGTAAAATTATCTTGTTGTATCCGGTGTTTCTTTCCACCCATAACGCCCTACCCTTTTGCATGTTGTACCATCAGGTTTCTTGACAACAACAATCTGAGTGGGTCTATTCCATCCACCATCGGAAGCATGCGCGACCTTGTTAGATTGTTGGTATCATCAAGAAATATGAAACAGAGCCTACACGACCTCGTCAAGATTTAGAAGAGGGCTTGAGCAGGTCAACTTGATTTAGGAATGACCATATACGCTAGACATGAGCAAGGGGCCGGGCCGATGGGCTGAGCCAGGCGTCTCGGTGCCAGGGTCTGCCATCGATCTCCCCGTATTAGCCTCATGACAAGGTCTTGCAATGTTCAAGAGATAAAATACACGGGCAAAGAAGATTCAGAAACTTCCATCCATGGGCAGGAGAAGTAAGTGAGGTTCTCTAATATCATGCCAGGGCCATGAGACTTAGCTGTCACTAGTTCTATCAACCCCAAATTAATTCGTAAAGACTAGGCAAGCCCCGAGCTCTCCTTTTCATCAAATTGAAACTCTTCTTTTCAAAGCTGCTGGCTTACAACTTTCCTTCTCGTAATAAAACTTTTTTTCAGGTGAAACAAAGACATTTTAGTCTGGACTACCCCATGCTAGACACTCTGCTGGCATTGCTATCTCATCTTGTTTACATGTATTTCCATCCACCACCACTTACATTGTGCACTCTGTGACCTTAACTTTTGCTTCTGCATGTGTACATGTTTGCATGCTCGTGAAACACTAAAAAAAGCGCCTGTTTTTTTTTTTTTATCGCTTTGATTTTGTGTAATGGCTGTTACTTGCAGCATTGTGCTATCATGTCAGCGTTAAAGTGTAGTAGCTTGTTTGTGTTTGTGCTCACAATCAGGCACATGTTTGTGTTTGTGCTCACAATCAGGCACATGTTTGTGTTTGTGCTCACAATCAGGCACATGTTCGACTTGGTAGCTTGTATCACAATAGGTTGCATGTCATGTTCTCTTCAGTCATTCTCGTTACATGATATCACACGTCCCTCTACTACCATATATTTCCTTCTTCTTTTTCTTTTGTATCAGGACACCCTTTGTATGTGTTTGGTACCAATGGTTTCACCGTATCCGTTACTATCCACATATGCAGCCCTAATAATGTGTCCATGAATATTACTAAGGTTCTCTTCCTGTATTCAGTACTTTGTTTCATTCATTACACCCTTTGCATGTTGTACTATCAGGTATCTTTACAAAAACTCTTTGAGTGGGTCTATTCCATCCACCATCGGTAGCCTGACCAACCTAGTTTGGCTGTGAGTATCATCATGGGAATAAGACAGAGAGCCAGCATCTAATCGCACAGGTTCGGAAACCAGAGGACCTGCAATGGTGGGCCCTATACCCTAAGCATGAGCACAGGGCCAGGCCGCTGGGTTGAGCCAGGCCACTGACCAAGGAGGCCATGTGTTTTTTCTATCTCGCTCTCCAATGTTCTTCTACGTTTTATAATCTTTTGGTTCAATGTTTTGTGTCTTCATCTTAGTACATGTGAAACCTGGTGCATGCATGCACCATCGGGAATCATGATGGCAATGCCCTAGCTGGGGCTAAACCGTTTATTATCTGTTATTTTATGTACAGCAATGTCAGCTGGAACAGCCTCACTGGCCAGCTCCCTCCAACAGTTGCCAATCTCACTCTTCTTGATTACTTGTAAGGCATCTTCGCATATGAAAATGCATTTTCTACCTTTCTAGCTTTGAAGCATCTCACAAAGTGGTGTACAAGGTACCTAGGTAGGTGTTCCACTGGTGAGGTGTTCCACTGGTACATTGCACCCACAGGTAAGATATATTCAACCATTCAACGTACCAAGGTCACGACTTGGGCTGGATTGGCCGAATCCTGATATGCCTGCCATCCAAGGTGCAAAAAAACGACGTTTTTTTTCAAATTTTGATCGTAAAATACCGTATCGTAAGAAACGATCGTAAAAAAACGATAAAAACAGATTTTGAAAATAAATACTTTTGGTGCAAAAAAACCTTCGTTTTTTTCAGTAAAAATACCAAAACTGCTGCTGAAACAAGGGGATTGATTGGTGAGAAGAACAAGGGGGCCGTTAGAAGTGCTGATGATGCAGCAGAAGATTGTTAGAAGTGCTTTTGTGATCAGAACAGCATCTTTGAAGTTGAAGAGTTCTTTTTGTCTAACAAAAAAACGACGTTTTTTTCCCAAAAGGTACCGTAAAATACCATCGAAAAAAACAATCGTATTTTTCGACAATCGTTTTTTTCTACCTTGCTGCCATCTATTGAACCGGGCTGCTCAATGTCAGGCAAAACAGACCAATGTATGCTTTGCGAGTACTCTCATAGCTTGATAACACTCCGTGTGTACACAGGGACTTTTCTTGGACTGCAATCACATGCCCTCCTGACTACAGCAGCTGCGTGGTCCCACAGACCACTTCAAGTGCTTTCTGCAAGCAGTGTGGTTCCTTCTGCTCCACGTGTGACAAGACACCACCAGGTGATAAGCAATCTCCTTATGAATGTAGCTCCAACTTCTACTGCCTTTTCTGCATTGCTCTTGTTATTGATGAGTGCATAAACACTGTTTTGCATTTTATATAACAAGTTTTCTCCAATGTCAGGCATTCACAACTTGGCCACTTCTCACACGGAATCCCATACATGTTGTGCTTCGGATGTATGCCTTCTGATGGGTACTGAAGATTATCTGCTCCAGCATTTCGATGCCTTCCTTCACTTTCTCTCCCTGTGCAAACTGTACCTTTTCTTACATCCCCTTACACCTCCCCATCGCCAGTGCCAACACCTTCCCCATCGCCAGTGCCGACACCCTCCCCATCGCCAGTGCCAAAACCCTCCCCATCGCCAGTGCCAACACCCTCCCCATTGCCAGTGCCAAAACCCTCCCCATCGCCAGTGCCAACACCCTCCCCATCGCCTGTGCCAACACCCTCCCCATCACCAGTGCCAAAACCCTCCCTACCGCCAGTGCCAACACCCTCCCCATCGCCAGTGCCAACACCCTCCCCATCGCCAGTGCCAAAACCCTCCCCATCACCAGTGCCAACACCCTCCCCATCGCCAGTGCCAACACCCTCCCCATCACCAGTGCCAACACTCTCCCCATCACCAGTGCCAAAACCCTCCCCACCACCGGTGCCAACACCCTCCCCATCACCAGTGCCAAAACCCTCCCCATCACCAGTGCCAACACCCTCCCCATCGCCAGTGCCAAACCCTTCCCCACCTCCTCCCACGTCAACTCCCAGCGAGCCTACAGCCTCTTCCTCCCAGTCTGGAGGCGGTTTATCCAATGGAGCCACTGCTGGCATCGCAGTTGCTGGTGCTGTGGCTGTCCCCGTGCTGCTGCTGCTCAGCTGGCTGCTGTGGAAGCGATGCTGCACCAACGGGGCAGCAGCAGGACGCGATACCGGCAAGGATGTGAATGGCAAGGGTTCGGATAAAGAGAGTGCGCACCAAGGTAAGATATCTCCAACGCATGATGTTCAAAAGCCATCATCATTCCCAGCCTCCCTCTGCACTTACCATCCACTCTTGACTCCTCGTCTTAATCTTATCTCCTCCTTCACAACCACAGGCTCGGAACACGATTTTCCAAAGGCAGCATCCAATGCAAAAGAGAGCGACCCAGAAGCAGCAGCTGCAGCAGCGGCAGCAGCAGCGGCTGTGGCGGCAGGAGCAGCAGCACGGGAGAAGCAGAGAGACGTGGTGGTGGAGATGGAGGCAGTGAAGCCACATGTGTGCCAGAAGTTCACTCTGGAAGAGCTCGCAAGCGCAACGGGAGATTGGGCAGAGGGGAACAGGATTGGTAGCGGCAGCTTTGGAGATGTGTACAAGGGCGTGTCACTGAATGACCCCAATGAGATGTGGGCTGTGAAGCGATCTAGGGTCCTCTCCAATGACTTTCTGACTGAGGTACCAGACGGTGCTAATGATGCTTCTGGTTTCACACCATGAATTATATCGTCATGCTGTTATTGAATGACCTTTATATTCAGATGTGTGTGTGCACGCACGCGGGCGCGCACACTCACACACAAACATGCATGGACAGATATACACACATATACACAAACACACACACATGCACATTCACATATGTTCACGCTTCTTCTCTCCCGAGTGATTGTTTTCCTACTCTCACCTTGCAGGTGAAGGAGATGGCTAGCAAGCACCACCCCAACTTGGTGCGCCTGTTGGGATTCTGTGTGAACTTTGACCCGGCTACGAGTCTCGTGGAGCAAGTACTTGTGTACGAGTTCATGGTCAATCGGGACCTCGAGAGCTGGATTGGACCAGGTACATAAGCTTCTCTCTACACCTGACACCTTTTTTTTTTTGCACCAGCAGACTCCCTTTCACCTGGAAGCTGCACCTTCGAATTAGGTTTCAGAGTTCGCACTTTTCACCACAACCATTCATTTCGTCATTCGCGAATTCTGATTACATGTCAGCATTTTCAGATTTTAACACTACTGTAACCATTTTTAGGCTTAATCATCAACTCAAAAAAAAAAAAAAGGCAAAAATTGGCAAGCCCCCTTGGTAAAATTGGCAAAAATTGGCATGGAAAATTGGTTTTCACTCTTTCGGTTTCCAGGTGCTCCAAGCCCCCTTTCATTCTTGCAACGACTTGACATTCTGATTGGGGTTGCCAAGGGGTTGCATTATCTTCATGATTTTGGCATTGTGCACCGCGACATCAAGCCAGCCAACATTCTTCTTGATGCAAAAATGCAAGTATGTATAGCGCCATTTTCTGCATGCATTCTCTTTGACCTACATAGAATTTCTGTTCTTTGCATGCTTTGACTGATCGAAAACAATTGGTGCCGCCCAACATCTGAATTCTTACTACATGCACATGTGACTATTGTTCAGGCCAAGATCGCAGACTTTGGGCTGGTGAAACTCACTGGAGGCACCGCTATGGGAACTTCTGTAGCTGCCACTCGAGTGATGGGAACACCAGGCTATGTGGACCCTGCCTACTACAAGTCCCACAAGGCCACTCCAGCAGCAGACATGTACAGGTGAGAGGGCAAAGACGGCTCTTTTGAGTTGTCTAGGAAACCATCTACTGCTGCCACTTAAGTGTTGGGAACACCGAACTATGTCAGTTTTGCTATCTACAAGTCACAAGGCCACTCCAGCAGTATATGTGGAGATGTATTTTTCGTTCTCCGTTTGTGATGCAGGTAGGGCATAAAAAAAAATTGTCAGCATGCCTCACATTTATCTCCATTCTGGTCCCTGTCCCTTTTGGTGGTTTGGTGTTGACAGCTATGGTGTGGTGATGTTGGTGGTCATCTCAGCACGCAAGGCCGTGCATGTGAGCGAGACCAGCCAGATCAGCCTGAAGCAATGGGTGAGGCACAGTTGCTTGGTACATACTGCCTGAATGCTTCGTGCAATAATTGCACGACCAATGCCCATTCCTCTACTCATTGGCATGAAGTGCAATGAACCATCAGCCATATGTCCGCGTGCATGTGTTCCCTTTCATTTGTACAGATCGCCCCATTCGTGGAGTCAGATGCTGTGGCAGTCTTCAAGGACCCCCACTTGGACGCACCAGATGACTTGGTGCTGCGCTGGGCTCGCCTTGCCCTCTCCTGCACCGCCATGCCTGTGGCCTCTCGCCCCTCCATGAGTCAAGTGCTGGGGGAGCTGGTGAAGTTGAAGCAGGAGGCGTCCGGAGCACATGAGAGCCATGTGGGCGAGGCAAAATCTCGCATCGACATGGAGCTTGGGAGTTTCGGTGGCTCCTCCAGCTTCACTGCAGAAATGGCCCGTGCGGAGCGTGAGGGGGGCATGCCAAGTGGTTCTTCCTCGTAATCAAGTCTGTTTTCACATGCACCTTACTGGTTTACCTAGAGCTTCCAGTACCAATGGTTTGTGTCATACGAAAACATACATGGGGAAATAAGGCCTGTTGATAGATATTTCAGAAGGGGTAGTTGTAAGATCTTTGTGAGCAGATTGACGGAACAACAAAATTCTGCTAGGTTCACAGAAAGCAACAACTGTATTTTTGGCTTGTCCATAGGCACTTATTTTGTGCTCATCATGTTTTCTGAAGTTCGTAGATATTGCATGCATTATACTTGCTACATTGTAGAATAGCATCATTCACAATCAGTATGGGATACCGAAATGGCATCAACAAATGTGAGGCAAGTGAAGTTCTACACTACGATATAGCAACTCTTTTTCCATCCCAGATAGCTAACCCGCAAAACATCACATTGTCCCTCTATTCTGCGCGTCCGGACATTTTCTACTTTGTTGGATGCCTCGTCAGCTGTTACATGTGGGGAAGAAAGGGTTCGACCCTTTCACAGCCCTTTCATTTCCAATGTCATATGAAATGCGGTAGAGGAAGAGCCTTTTGGGAGGAATGAAACCTGGCGAAAGAAGTGTTATTAGGAGCGGGTTTTGAGAGATAGCTGGGAGGATAATCTCCCGGCAATATGGACTTGGTTGAACAGCGGAGCAGGGCATACTGGTATTGATCTATACTCATGAGCATCATACAATTGCTTAGGGTTGTGAAGTCAGGGAGGGGGGAAGGAGGAGGGCAAGGGGGAGAGGGAAGTGGAGGCTCACGTTGAGATGATCACGCAATGGGAGAGTGATACCATAATCTCATGGCAAGAAGACCAGGGTTCGAAGAATGGGGTAGCAAGAAATGGACTTCAGTGTCAACCCATCTTCTCTCCCCCATAGTCCCTCCTCCTCCACACATGCCCTCTACGATAGCCACTAGCTTTGCTCATAATTGTGAACTTAAACTATTGCTTCTTGAACTTGTGCTCAGATAGTGTGGTGACATTGGGATCCACCTTGAGCTTGTACTGCTTTGCTTGCTTTGCTGATTACACCCCACTTCGGCTATGGGGGTGTGTCAAAATATTATGCTCTAGCTGCTCTAAACTTTCACAGGCTTTGCCGAAGAAAGCTTCAACAAGCATCGCGCCATGTAGGAAGAACAGGAAGAAGAGGAAGAAAAAAAAAACGCCTACGTTGCGCTGGTGAAGCTACGCCATGCTCGACTAGGTGTTGGTTGACGAGAAAGAAGAACAGCTCGAAGTGGATAGAGGTGGAATGAAAGGGCGTGCTAAAAGCAAGATGCAGCGTGGGGAGGGGGGAGGAGTTTGGATTCTAACCAATCGACTTTGCCTCAGGTAAAGAAAACAGAGACGTTCTCGCACACGATCCCTGCCTCGTCTCCGAGGCATGGCCTCCCGTGTCCTTGTCTCTGATCTCCCCCGGTCTCTCCCTCCCCTACCTCCAAGGCCTGCCCCTTCCTGCGTCCCGTGCGTCGAGGGGCAACAGCGCGTCGCCCCTCACTCCTCCGAGTTTCCTCCGACAGCGGCTCCGCTGCAGACTCTTCACATGGACGTGTGGGGCCCCGTCCGGGTCCTTGGAAAAGGTCACGACGTTACTTCGTGTTGGTGGTTGACGACTACTCGCGTTAGACCACAGTCTTCCCCTTGCGCACCAAGGGTGACGTCACTGAGGTGTTGATCGACTATATCCGCGCGTCTCCAGCTCAGAGAGAGTTTCGGCTCGGACTTTCCTGTTCTGCGTGTGCACTCTGACAGAGGCGGAGAGTTTTCCTCTGCCCATCTGGGAGCCTTCTGTCGAGAACAGGGCATCTGCCAGACCGTGCACGCTTCCGGCCTCTCTACAGCAAAATGGGATTGCTGAGCGCCGCATTGGCATGGTCATGGACGTCGCTCGTACGTCCATGATCCATGCGGGTGCCCCCCATTTTCAGTCGCCGTTTGCGGTTCAGTACGCAGTGCATCAGCTCAACCTTCAGCCCCGGGTCTCCTTACCAGAGACCTCCCCCACCTTGCGGTGGACGGGGAAGGTTGGCGATGCGTCTGCGTTACGTCTCTGGGGATCTCGGGCGTTTGTCCGCGACTTGTCTGCGGACAAGCTGTCCCCCCGTGCTGTTCCCTCCGTCTTCCTTGGCTTCCCCCCTGACGCGCCTGGTTGGCAGTTTTACCACCCCACCTTGCGCCGTGTTCTGTCCTCCCAGGACGTCACCTTCGACGAGTCGGTGCCTCACTACCGTCTCTTCCCCTACTGCACTGCGCCCCTCCCCCCGCCGCCGCTCTTCCTTGCGCCAGGTCCTCGCCCGGTAGACCCCCTCCCCCCTCAGGGTCCTGCCCCGTCAGGTGTGTCCCAGGTAGACGCAATCGAGCCTGTCGAGGTAGCTGTTGACTCTGGTGCTGCTGCAGGAGGTACTGAGCCCGCGGGTGCCGTGTCTGGAGGTGCTGAGCCTGTGGGTGCGGAGCCTAGGGGTGGTGAGTCTAGGGGTGCTGAGCCTGGAGGTGCTGAGTCTCAGGGTGTTGAGCCTAGGGGTGCTGAGCTTGGGGGTGCGGAGCCTGGGGGTGCTGGGTCTGCTCGTGTGGCCTCTGGCGGTGCTTCGTCGAGGCGGGAGCCACTCTCTCCGCAGGAGAAGCGCGAGTCGTTTGCCCGGCGCTCGAGCCGTGCTGCTGGAGCTGGAGGTACTACTGTTGTTGCTGGTACCGTTGGTACTCGTACTGGCGGTACTGGAGCTGCTGGGACTGGGGGTGCTGCAGGGGCTGCTGGAGTTGGTCCTGCTGGAGGTACTACTGGAGCTGCTGGCGGTACTCGAGCTACCAGTCCTACTGGGGTTGGTGCTGCTGGATCTGCTGGAGCTGGAGCTGCTGGGGGTGTTGACGCTGGTGGTTCTGCTGGGGCTAGTGCGTCTCAGGGTGCTGGAGTTGGCGCTGTTGGAGCTGGAGGTGCTACTGGCGCTGGTGCTGCCGCTGGGAGTACTTGTGCTGTCCCTGCTGGGTCTAATGGCGCTGCACGGCCGCGGCCGTACTTCGTTCCGCTCCTTGAGCACGTTCTTGGTCTCCCGCCCTCTACTGGTCCTGCTCCTCCCTTAGAGTGTCCACAGCCTGTCCAGTCGCAATCACAGTTACAGCCCGCATCCCCCCTACCTGCTCCTTCTCCCTAGACTGGTCCTACTGGAGGTCTTACTGAGCGTCGTAAGCCTACGTCTCGTCTTGCGTCGCCTGTTCGTGTTGCTCACACTAGTGGTCGTGCTATGCGTCCGCGTCCTCCTACGGTCCCAAGTACTCACCAAATGGCACTGCGTCCTTCCACGAGTCCTCTTCGTGTCCCGTTGCCGTCTCCTCCAGAGTCCTCTCTTCCTATTCTTGCTGACCCGGAGTCTGACTCTCTTCGTGCTGCAAGTCCTACTGTCACACGTCTCCTGGCTACAATTGTCACTCACCCTTCCTTTGAGTCCACTGCTGCATCTGCCTTGGTTGTTGAGCTTGTCGACTTTGCAGCTCGCTGTCGTCTAGAATACGCAGCTAGTCTTGTTGCTGAGTCTAAGTCTGTCTGTCCTCCGTCCATCAGGGGTGAGTGTGCTCTTAGCACGGACGTCCTTGAGGACAGGCAGGAGGAGTTCCGGTGTTTTGCTGCTGCTTTGCCTCATCTCGTGTCCACGGTGATTGCCCCTGAGGGAGACCCGGATGCACCAGACATCCCGACTCCTCGATCGTACGCTGAGGCGATCGAGGGTCCCTAGTCCTCTCAGTGGCAGTGAGCCATGGACGCAGAGATGGCTTCCTGGAAGTCCACAAGCACCTACGTCGATGAGGTTCCCCCACCTGGGGCGAACATCGTCAGTGGCATGTGGATTTTCAGGGTGAAGCGGCTGCCGGGTTCTCCGCCTGTCTTCAAGGCGTGTTACGTGGCTCGAGGCTTCTGTCAGCGGCAGGGAGTTGACTACTTTCAGACCTTCTCTCCCACCCCAAAGATGACCACTCTTCGGGTGCTGCTGCACATAGCCGCTCAGCGTGACTACGAGCTTCACTCTCTTGACTTCAGCACTGCTTTTCTGTAGGGCAGCCTGCACGAGGAGATCTGGCTGCGCCGCCCACCTGGCTTCATTGGGTCGTTTCCTCCTAGTACCCAGTGGAGCCTCCGGCGGCCAGTCTACGGTCTCCGCCAGGCGCCCCGTGAGTGGCACGACACACATAGGACTACACTTGCGGCTCTTGGGTTTGCTCTTTCTACAGCCGACCCGTCGCTATTTCTGCGCACCGACACCTCTTTGCGACCGTTCTACATCCTCGTGTACGTCGACGACTTGGTCTTTGCCACTGCTGGACTCGCCCACGTAAAGTCCGAGCTGCAAAAGAGACACACGTGCACAGACCTGGGTGAACTGCGCAGCTACCTTGGCTTGTAGATCACCTGAGACAGAGCACAGCGCACCATTACCCTGACTCAGTCACACATGGTGCAGCAGGTCCTTCAGCGCTTCGACTTCACATACTCCTCGCCTCAGGCCACTCCTCTGTCTGCTCGCCACTCGCTCTCAGCTCTGCCTTCGGATGAGTCCGTTGAGCCGAACGGTCTGTACCCAGGGCTTGTTGGTTGCCTCATGTACCTGATGACCTGCACACGACCTGACCTTGCATACCCTCTTAGCATCTTGGCACGCTATGTTGCTCGTGGGAGACACTGACCAGAGTACATGGCTGCAGCGAAGAGGGTGTTGCGCTACGTGTGCAGTACGTCGGGCATGGGGCTACTACTTGGAGGGCGACGTCGAGTGGTCCTCACAGGTCACGCAGACACTTCTTGGGCTGACGATCAGGCTACGCAGCGGTCGTCACAGGGCTACACCTTCAGCCTTGGCTCCGGCTCTGTTTCGTGGCGGTCTACCCGCTCGTCTTCTGTTCTCGGCTCCAGCTGTGAGGCTGAGATCTATGTGGGGGCCATGGCTCCACATGAGCTACGCTGGCTCACCTACATGCTGCCTGACCTAGGAGAGCCGC